TATGCTTGCAGTGCTTACCTGTCAACTCCAATCCAACTTCAGAGCCGGGATAAATAGCGAGGTGGCAGCGGTGGCTCAGCGTTTTTGAATGGCGGCAACATGCATTCAATATGGCATCAAGTGTGTTCGCATCAAGACCCATAGAATAGATGTGGCAACGTAGCAGACGACGAGGTACCTTCCTCAGCTAACCAGGAGATTCGCTGTTAGTTCCTCGATAAGGAAGATATCTCGCAGTGAATTTTGCCCTCCACCCTTATCTGTTACTTATATCTATGCACACCCTTTGCCTGCGTGCTTCTAACCTCTTTCCCTGCTCACCCACATTCCCCACTCTCTAAGGGTACACAAATGGTTTGAAGGCTGTTTTAGTTTGATAACTGCTGTTTAACGCCGCAGTGCGCGCTCCGTAAGTTATCACAAGAATGCTGAGATATTGGCAAAAGTCGGACCCGGGACGGGACTTGAACCCGCATCTCCCGCTTATCCATTACGGATAACGCAACCGCCCGGTAAGCGGGAGATGAGGGTTCAAGTCAGGGCACGCACGTTGCGTTGTGATCATTTCCTAAAAAATACGACCCCCCCCCCTCCAAGTAAGGGTCTTGATACGACCCCCCCCCTGTCACGAGGGTAGAAACGAAAAGAAGAGCAAGGATGAAGAAATTGACAATAAAGAGAACTAGGCATTATTGAACTATTCCTACCCCAAGAACTCAAAAAATTTTCGCTGAAACTTTGTCTATCGATGTTACTCCATGTCCAGTGTGACATCATTTCCGTAACAGCACTATTTAGCGTCTCTACCGTGCAAGGAGTCAAGGATAGTCGAATGCAAGCGCCCTTTAACCGCCTGATCGCGTCCGCATCAAGAGAGAGTCCACCACGAAGTAGAATCACAATAAAAGCAACCCTTCTCAGTACAACACTCCATTCCTTGATTACAAACAAATACCCACTGATTCCGGGCGCATTTCTTAATACTATGCCGACCACCAGCATACCTAGGAGACTTGGCAGGCGACATAGTTGTGTGAAATATCCGACAACAACCCCAAGGGATACAATCCTACTATATATAAACGGCAACGTCTGTCTGTCTGTTTGTCTGTCTGTCTGTCTGTCCGGAAATTCGGAATCACCTGAAGAGCCAGTTGGAGGGGGCGGGTCAAGGGTGGGTTGGGTAGGGCATGGGCCAAGATGTACGGAACACACATGAACTGAGCTAAGCCCCGCCCACTGTGGGCGGGGCGTGCGCACAGTTGTGAGCTACATATTTCAAAAATTCGTAGTTCGGTTCTAGAAGATCCCGGAGAGCGGAAATTGTGGGAAACGATAAGCAGTCAGTTGGCGGATGAAATGAGGGAGTCACACCCGTGATGGGCGAGGCGTGCTATAGGTGGGCGGTGCTCGCTACACAACTTTCAAAAATTCGTAATTCGGTTCTAGAAGATCCCGGAGAGCGGAAATTGTGGGAAACGATAGGCAAACAGTTGGCGGACGGAATGAATGAAGCACACCCGCGATGGGCAGGGCGTTCGCCGAAGTGAACGGTGCCGGGGACAAAAACCCTCAAAACACATCCGAAAAACTCCAGGAAATGGGGAGTAAGTGAAACTGAGCAATGGTTGGGCAGATGAAGTTAGTAGGGATAACCGTAGGGAGTATACCAAATGGTTGGTGCCGTTTATTCTGCGCTTCCTCATCAGTGACGGGAGTGCCGTATAGAAAATTTTGATGACTGTCTTCTGGGGGGGTATATACAAGCAGTGAAACGGTAAAGTGCGGTAATTCTCAAAACAATTTTTTTTCGACCATAGCCGGCGAAGCCGACCGATCCGACTGGTAACTAATAATGAATAAATGGAATTGGCGTAGTTATTTGACGTCGGAACAGTCGGCGGCTCAGAAAGTGACTTGTTGTGCACCGAAGTTTCTATTATAGCATTGCTAGAGATGAATGCAAAAATAACAAATACAACGTAAGCACAACAGCTGGAAACCACAACTGAATAGAGAGCCGGCAATTTTTGTCTTCGTTCTGATTCTGATGATGACTCAGTGGTGAATTCCACCCGCTCTTCAGTGGTGAATTCCAACCGCTCTTCAGTAAAATCCATATCAGGCCACAGTACTACTGCTAGTACTAATACTAAGAATGCTAAGTACGAAACATGGTGAAGCTCAAGTGTTGTTGTCAGCTCAAGTTGTCAAAGTGCGTTTGAATAGCGATTGCTCGCGGTCAACCGCACGCGAGCAGTGCAATTCCCACGCTAATACAAGCTCATTGGAGCGCGTTATTTTACGACCTGGGATCAATTTCAAGCCAAACACTCGAAAGTACCCCTTTTTTGAACACCTATAACTTCGTTGAAAGTAAAACTCTCGGAGAGGGGGAAGTGGGAATGAGTAGAGCTAGGTTGGCTCTTGTTACCTGGATTGAACGATTTCTGAAACATTTCCTTTCTAGAAGGTTTCATCCTCTTGTGATCCTCTTGTGATCATGGGGGGCCAACCACAAGTCGCCACGCTTTGGACATCCATGGCAAGCTTCATACACGGCCTTTCGAAAAAAAGAACTGTGCCGGACGCATGAAGCTTTCTACTTTCCAGCACAACTTTCATTTTATCGCTAGGCCTGCTATTCGAAAAATTTCCCCGTTGTGATCATAAAAAACCACTCCCCCACGGCCCGAAAAATCAACACCTCCGATTGCCTTTGAAGGCAGCGTCCGCGTTCAGTTGAGATTTTCCTCTCCCTTCGTGAGCAGGTAGTCAGGTCCGCTGAGGCAACAACTACACCACTTTCGCGGCGCAAAAACGCGTGAGGAGAGCCACGATGCCGTCGTTCTTATCATTGACCCAACCTACAATCATTGGCACCGCCCACCATTCATTTCTAATGGTTACCTGATGGTGCGGTTGTTCCGCTGCTGCTTCTCTCCACGTCGAGTGGTGAGAGTGAGGTGATAAGGGAAAACAGCTGATATCAACAAGTGAGAACTCGTGCGACCGCACCTTCTCTTCGCCTTGAGCACGTACAAACCTCAGTTAAGCAAGGGTTCTATATAGAGCCTTTCCTATGATTTCTTTCTGATTTTTCTTCACTAAGGGGTTACTTGCTACCTTGTTATAAGTATTTGAGCCGCATAACTCATCAAATTTGAATGCGGGCTCAGCCTTTAAGACATTGATATGCTTCTAAAACGCAGGTTTTTGCCAAGGATACCAGGAAATATTTTATTGGACGCCAGGGCACAGCATTGGTTGGGGATTCCCTATGGGGGGGTCGTATTTGGCCGCCAAAAGGGGGGGTCGTATTTGGGCTGGGAAAAATTTATTTTTATAGTTGATTTTTCTCGCTTTGCGGACGTTTTGGGGGGGGGTCGTATTTCTCTAGGAGTTACGTGGTTCACTTCATGAGTTTTATGAATTTTCTGTGTTATAGGTACTATGTACGCCCGTACGATGTACGTCGCATGCCTACTACATACCCCCCCCCCCCCCCCCCGCTCGACAACTTTTTCGCCGAGTATAAACCACAACCCCATCCCCATCACAACCACAGTCAGCCATGTCAGCCATCGTGAGCATGGTGAGCATGGGGGGGGGGTCGTACCAGCCCCTGAAAAAAGGGGGGGGTCGTAAAAGCTCGACCAAAATCCCCATCGAATGCTGTGCCCTGTTGGACGCCAACTGTCACCACCTCTGCATTGCGCCATGCATAGCGCTTTCACGCAGAGCTATTGGGAAGGTGCAACTTCTAGAAAGGGCTTCCTTCCGTGCAGGTAGATGTGCTTGCTAGGCTCGGAAGTGTACTTTCATCTGTTCACTAAATCATGGCGGATATTCATTGGCGCGGGGATGACGTAGTGAGCGCTTACCGCTCGCGCGATGCCGGGTGCCAACCAAGCCTTCTACCCTCCGGGACGGTAAGATGGTACCAGATTCGTCTGGGAGGATAAAACACTGACTTGTACATCGGCTGGCCACCGCAAGTCATTGTATAGGCCACATCGCATTCAATAAGCCACTACGATTCTGAATGGAAGTAGAATGCGTGCATCCCACAAAGGGGTTGATCAACGGCGGAGACTTTATCCTTTATCTTTTAATATTAATTCATGACGTCGTTGTGGGAGGCCATCATATTCCCTGTCATCGCCCGTTCCCCATTTCTGCGCTGGCAGGTTGCTTCTGTCTTGTGTGGGTCTCTTCAGAGGTCCTTCACATGGATAAGTCTTTCATCATTGAAGCTGAACGACAGTATCGCTGCACCCTCACTTCAGAAAGGTCCCCGCGCTTACGACCCCCCTCCCTCGAGGTCAAATACGACCCCCCCCCTTGTGGTGATCACAACGATGGTGTGCCCTGGTTTAAGTCCCGTCCCGGGTCCGACTTTTGCCAATATCTCAGCACTGTGGTACCCAAATGGTTTCTTCCCACGCCTATGGCCACGCTTCCCTTCTGAGCACAAAAAAACCACTTCACTCTTGCGACGCAGGTGCTACAAAATTAATGGCAATCTAAAAAGCTTAGAAAATAGGGTCCCCGATGTTCCACAGACCCGGATCAGGAGCAGCAGCCTCAGAATCTTCTCACTTATCACTAGTTTGACCACCTATACAAAGACATGGAGAGCTCTGACCCGTGCTCGTCATGTGCATCTTTCGTATCGAACAAGTCTGCCCTCTTGAAACAACCATTTCCAGGGACACATGAGCGCACGCACCTCCAGTACTTCGTGCAGAATAGATATAATTCTTGAGCTGTCAAAGAAGGAAATAGAATGGAGGGACCTTTCCACTACAATAATATCTTCAAAAGCATCCACAACAACTCAAACATCAGTAGCAACTACCATAGTAACAACAAAATTGACAACTATGGCAACCACAATGGTAACGGCGGCAGAAACCTCATCGACAGTACCGACAACAACTCATCTGACAAGCACGCTTACAACTACTTCTTTGGCACCAACATTTGTTCCAACGGATATGGGAAATACGACAATTTCGGCGCAAACTGCAACTAACAGAACAAAAGATAGTAAGCGCTAGTCAATCTCTAATAGTGGACCCACGGAGGGCAATGGTTGAAGTTTCTCTGACGGCATCTCTTTTCTAGAACCGTCTACAACACCTGGTTCGGGACTGACAACCGAGAAGTCAAGCGAGTATCGTCCAACCATGAAACAAATACGGTAGGTTGCCATGACTGCTTTTGAGACGAATTGTACCCCCTTCGATGAAGGACCTTTTCCCATATGGAAGGCAAAAAGGTCGTAGCTGCAATAATGGGCTACTTTTTCCGCTCAATATTAGTCCCTGGGGCTGGAAGTACTGATACCAAGTGTAGTGTCGTCTTCATACCAAACCATCGCTATCCTCAGTATGCAGCGCATGCGTCGATACCATGATCCCGCAGCTATACATGCACTGAGCAGTAGTGACCAAATTGAAGTGGGAGAGCACAGACAAGTAGCGCGTTGGGTTATGGTTAGAAGGAGGCAGTCGGGTATCACTACCCTCCACCCTCCTTCCCGTGCTTTTCGACCAGTGTCAGCGGGGTGTAGGACGTTTGTGCAATGCACTTTTTTCGCACCTCTTCTCTCATGGTGGCAGAGTCGCCTGCGGTGTGACCTCACTTAATTGCTGCTCGCTGCCTTCTGACCTCTTACCGAGACGCTAATCACACAGTGATAAGACGTTATACCACTACTTGAATGAATATGGAAGAAATGTGAAGAATAGCCCACATTAAATAAATATGGAGTTTCAAACCGATGAATCAAGTGTGAAAAAAAACATTGACCGTGAACACTTTTCCTTAACTTGGCACAGTTTGCGGGAAAAAAACTTGGAACAAGCAAAAAAAATCGGAATTTCTGACAAATAATTTTTTGATTTTCCTGGTTTTGTGGATTGGAATACCGTGGATGAGATATGCTTGGAAGAACTGTTAACAAATCAGTAGGAACGACCCGGAGTAAGAAGAAAAGTGCGTGAGATCTAGGTTTCAGTACCCAAGATGAGCATCGGGATAAAATGACCCACTAAAAGCCTTCATCTCAACCCACCGGGCTTTGATATGACGTCAAGCATGAGTCAAGGGGAAGACACCAACGAGTGAGCAGTTCCAAGCATTTCAAGGGATTTGCAGTCGAATACCCGTGGTTATCCCTGAAGCTCCTGCGGAGTCGACTACACGGGTTGAAGCCTTTAATCAAGGCCAGTACTAAGCGGTCAAAAATCATAGATGATTGACGAATTTGCGCTATCTGCCCACCTTTCCACTGTTAATGCTGAACAAATGCTTTAGACCTGAGAACTGCATAAAAAGCGATTTTGTGGCTTGTTCCAAGTGTTCTACAACCGATGTGTAATGAAGCCGAATGCTTATCCGGTAAAGTGGGTCCAGTTGGATTAACCTGCAAAAATCGGTAATATAGCACGATGGTGGTGTAAAGGATGGGGGAGACATTTGAAGTAAATCGCCCAATATAACGATGGATCGGGCGCAGACATGGCAGACTGAGAGCCTTGAATAACTGAAGGGCTCATCCAATATCATCTTAGCGATGACCTTTCTTGTCATGTGTGAGAATAATGAATAAGATTCAAGATAATCAGAAGTGCTGATGGTCACTTTAAATGTTGACCTGCTTCCAGGCAAGTGATCTGTTTACTTATTGTTTATAAACTAAACTGCAATTAAAAAAATTACTTCAAGCTCAGAAAAGGCCTTCAGTATGTTTTTTTTCCACTCTTCATCGGTTTGAAACTCAATATTCATTTATTGTGAGCTATTCTTTCACATTGCTATACTCATATTCTTCGAGTCAGGTTATAATATGTTGTAACTGATGGAGCAGCGTAATCGACGAGAGTTCAGAAGGCAGCGAGTCAGCAATTAAGTGAGGTCACACCGCAGGCGACTCTGCCACCATGAGAGAAGAGGTGCGAAAAAAGTGCATTGCACAAACGTCACATACCCATCAGCGGCGGAATCCGTTCCGCGCACACACCCATGGACTGTTCTCTTGGTCTTTGATGGAAACCCAATCTCAGAGTTTCCGGAAACCTTTCCACTAAACATGAGGACCCTCTCGTGGATAGATCGACTCTCGAGAAGCACTCAGTGACACTGAAATTCGCGACCAGTTTTTAAAGGTTCACTTTCAGGAAAAAGGCGTCTTTCCAACTTATGGTCATAAGCATTTGTATGGTTTGCGTGTTATCCTTCCAATTGATCTTCATTAATATGCTACGGAAGGCTCACCGAGAACGCTATGAATACATGCTCGCATTTATGCCAGAGAAACGTTGGCTAAACAAGAATCTAGTTCATCAAGTACCTTAGAGAAGGCTCCAAAGACCAAGAAATCATCAGGGATGACTCCGAAATCAACATCTAGGAGCATGTCGAAGTCTGCAAAGAAAGGCAGCCCAGGGTTTTTCGTGGGCAAAAACAAAAGATCTGCAGAAAGAGCAAAAAAATCAACGGAACTGATAAGAACTTCAAAAGAAGCGATCAAAAAGTCGTTGAGTCAGCTCAATCGAAAGCCTTCAGCAACATCTGCTGAGAAAAGCGATGAGCGCTCCACTGATTTGTACATGGTTGGGAGCAAGATGGGCCAGAAGAAGACACCAGAAGGATTATCAGACAAGAATGATGCTGACTTTTTCAAACTTCCACAGATAAACAAGTGAAAGATGCCCACCGTACTCATTCACAAACAGCTCCCACATAATTTACGGTTTTAATAAATGTTTGTGATCAAGCTCTTTACGCTTCCTGAAATTTGAAAGTCTGACTTCTGACACTGCCAAGCTTTTCAGAAGTGTCTTTTATAATGGAACGGTGAGAATGTCAGTTCTGTTCGACATAGGTGGCGGGGGGGAGGGTAAGGAAGGGGGAGAACATCTTGCACTTCCGCTGAGTTCGTTTTGCTAGTTCAAATCAACTAAGAGCTAAACTCTTGTGAAGCTGCGAAATGGTACAAGTAACTCGCCATGGTTACAGGAACTTACAGATCTGCTGCCCGCACCGAGCCGAATTGCGCGTTTATCTGAAAATTTTTGATTCTGCGAAACAAGAACAGTTTGACTGAGAAGTTCAGGAGGTGCTAGGAGGACAGAACCATAGGCTATAGTTGTAACCTTGTTTTAAAGGGAGAAAGCCCTAAACCTAATCGGAGACAGTTCCGCGTGAGAGGAGGGGGACAGATCATTGTACATTTCTTGATGGATGTCGATTCTTACGCGGGTGTTATAACGCTCGTGTGCGAGTTGTTGACGAATGGCATGATGAAGTTCTTCATACGAGGTTCGTTAAAGTCATTGTGGAGTACAGCTGGTCACAAAACATGTGAAACCAATTATCAAAAAATGCTGTAATTGCAATTAGAAAAAGAATCAACCAAAAACAACCAAAACAAAACAAAAAAAAAAATGGTATCTTGGTTGAAAGATGAGTGGCAACAGTACCAACATATACATAGCAGGTACACTGGAGAGCCTCCAAAAAGTTCTCTGATCAGCTTTTTGCGCATTTCCTACCGGTGGAACACGCAGATTCAATCCTCTCACCCTTGGAAAAGAAGGACTGGATCGAATTATATACTCCCAATCTGCTGCCATCACCGAGAGCGGTAACAAATACAACAGTAACTCTCAGAGTTCAATAACTGAAGGAGCAATGCTCTGGTCTAGCAGAGATGTAATTGAAGTCGTGTTCGCCAAAAGGCTTCGTTGGTATGCCATCCCCTTGTTGTAAATGATGTCCCCAATCTAGCTGCACTCACTCTTCACGGATCGAAGAAAGATATGACTGATGCACTAAAGAATTGCTTTGAATCTGTTCCTGGTCCTACTTGCTGTGAGTCCTGTGGTAAAGCGCAACCCGTCTAGAAATGGAGGTTTCACTGAAGACAATACCCTACGTTGACGGTATCGCAGTGAACAGATAGTGAAGTGGATCTCCAAGGCATAACGGGCAGAATGCGTTAAAAGTGTAGCCGCACGGACGAATTTGGTTGTTACCAAGGTACTGAGCTGTAAAGAGTGAAACCCAACCCCAGATCACTCGCAGAAAGGATGGGAAGATGGAAAGAGTGAGACAAAACGCTGCGTCAGATTCTGCAAGCAGAATATGCGCATTTGTTGATGAAATCGGTGACCTGCTGGTACCTCTTTGGAGTCAACTTCTAGCTCCAGGACGCTGGAAAACAACGCGCAGCTGTCAGGTCCACGATGCCACCGGCAAATTCCAGAATGTTAATGATTGCCGTGAAAGCGGACAGTCGCGCGGGACAACACCATTGAGGTAAGAAACCCTCCGAGTATCCTCACTCACTGAGCCTCGCCTAGCCCAGTCTTGCTGATTCCATGCCGGATCAATTCAACAGCGAAAGCAAAGAAGTAACAAATGGCGTCGGGCGCGCGTGTTGTGTCACAGGGGGCATATTACTATTACTATTGTCTTTCCTCTCATGTTCCGATTACATGTCTCACTCTGGCGAAACCTGCGAATTCTTGTGAAGCTGGAACAAGGTAGTCTAGCAATAATGTTAAAACCTGTCAACTCGAGAAGAAGCTGTTTAGATAGGCCGCCACGTCGATGGGATGTAGCGAAAATATTAAAATGCCCCCCCCCGGGTCGTCGACAGACTTGAACCGGCTCAAGGGTGTCTTACAATTGAACTGGAGCCTCTTGAGTATGTGTGCAGAAAAAAGGGCCCGCCAAAGACAGCTACTCAGAAGGACCGACCCAAGCGCTTTTCCTACTTTACTGCGAAAGCGCTGATAAAGCTGGTAAAGATGCTGTGGACCGACTACTTGAATAGGGGAACGCTTGCGAACTGGCGCCGGAGGTCAGAGTATCAGCGGCGGTGAAGATAAGGCTTACTTACCTCTTGCGGTCCACTACCCAGCAGGCGGCTCAAGTATAAGGTGCGCGGGTTCCATAGAGGCGCACTGTGCCTTTACAAACTCTTAACTTTTGCAAGAAACTTGGCAGGCAACTGAGTTGTGATGAAATGAAGATATTGGGGTGGAGAGGACGCAAAAAGTCATAAGAAAAAGTCCTAAGTAAGGACCACTGGTAGCCTCACTGAACAAGCTCTCCGCACCTGCTCGTTCCACACCGGCAAAGAGATATCCGGCCCGTGGCTCGTCTATAATCTTCTCGTCTTCCAATGCTAAGACAGTGGAAGAAAATCCACGGCGTGCAACTGAACTCGTGAGAGAAAATAGTCTTCTAGTTTTGTTGGGTGCAACAATGAGGAGCGGCTGACTCCGGTTATTTACTGTGAAGCCACAAAAGTGGTATAAAGAAGCGGGATCAGAAAACTTGAACAGGGAAGGACGCCTGCGGAATGGTTGAGAACGGAGACTGACTTGACGATAGGCGAATTGACGTCTTCCCCAACGTCAGTTCGCCTATTGACGTCTATGAAATGTACCCATCGATGATAGTTCCATGGCTTGAGGTATCTTGTGTTTACTTCGAAAAGTATTATGATCCACAGTGTTGTCAGTGCTTTCGGAGTCCATAAAAAGGGAAACTATCGGTAGGGTTTCATTTTCTGCTCTGCGATCATGTTCGGGTGGTGGAATGTGCTATGGCTTGTCTCTCTTCACGCTGTTTCACACTGTCACAAATCAAACAATACTACCTTATGTGACACTAGCGAAACTGCAAAGGTGAGTTTGCAATCTTCTGGGGGTCACTGATGGCCAGTCCTCACAAGGAAGAACTCGAAAGTTCCACCCAAAGCAAAATAACGATGAGTTACGCTGCTATGTTCGAATAACATACCGGCGTCAACCTGAGCGAGTATTCTTCCGTCGTCGTGACATTCGTGACTGTGGCTTGGCACAGAAATACATCCCGAAAACTTTTTCAAGAGGGCAGCATGGACTGCCACTGCTCCAGCTAACATTGTGGGCTAGAATGGGTGCTCGAAGGTTTGGAGGTGCTAAAGTCAGAGAAGAATCCACGTTCCAGCTCATCCTAATGAAAGTATTTTACGTACAGTGCATGATGCACCGCCTAGAAGGACGGCAGGGCCAATGCCATCGGTGGAGCGATGCCCTGGGGAACATGCTTCACTTCTGGGCACAAAATCAGCAGCGAAACACTAAGGATGAAACAACGAAGAATCGGAGATACTGTATCAAGAAGAACATACATATCGATTGATACATCTGGTCCACCAGCGAATTGAAGAAGGCGCGATGAAGATCATTACATGCGTCTCGATTCACTCAGTCCTGCTGAAGTGCTGGCGTATACGGGAAGGTGGGGGATCAGAAAACTCGGAAAACCATAGAACCTGATCTTAGGGCTGAACCTTGACGTAGGGAAGGTGCGGTGAATATCAGGACACCACCGCTTTCATGTTAGGAAAGAGTTATAGTGAACATTGCTCGCGATAAATATGGTGCTCAAACTATTTTGATCAACACTGAATGTGATATTGATAATGTGATATGGACTACATACCACTTCCTCCAGGTTATGAGAGGATGCTCTCATGGTGATGGCAATGGGAAGGTACAACGGTTGATTGTCCCCGCCCAACCATCTGCGAGAACCGTGTCTCTGAAGGTAGCTGGGATGTGAGGTTCAGACAGGAATTTCCCGGTGCTTATAACTCGACCAGTCGGATCGCCCCGGCCATCCAAACTGAGGGCCAGTCGGATCGCCCGCCTCCTTATGCGTGTGAAGTGGGTCCCCGGCCATCCAAACTGAGGGCCAGTCGGATCGCCCGCCTCCTTATGCGTGTGAAGTGGGTCCCCGGCCATCCAAACTGAGGGCCAGTTGGAATGCTCGCCTCCTTATGCGTGTGAAGTGGGTCCCCGGCCATCCAAACT